GGGGGGGTAAGATCAGTTTCTGTGATCTTAAAAATGAACTCTATGTCTGGGTCAAAACGAGGATGACCCCTTATTAAAATGTTTGAATATTTTTCACTCTATTTGAGCTACAAAACAGGCTCGTAACCTTTTCCCCTTCTCCTGAGACATAAAGAAAACCACATTCCTTAACAAAGCCCTTATGGTTTGGTTATCTAGATCAATCTTTTCTAACCCACGGCAGACTTACATAAGTAGAAAGTTTTTGCGACTCACACACACGTCACCGACCCGAGCACATCATTATTAATAATATAAATATACTGTGTTGGCCTGTATGGGTGTAGTTGTTTTTTCCTGGCAGGAACCTACAATGATGTTGAAACACAGAGCTCTTGCGCACATCTCTGTCATTCTCTGGTATTCTTTTTGTCTCATAGTCTTTAAAACTCACCTCACCCCCCCACACGATCCCAGAGCTTGGCCTCTGTCTTATGTGCATACACTTTGGTGTACTAAAATATCTCACATTATTTAAGTTGAATATGTTTTTTTCCTCATGCGACTTATCTGTTATGTCTGAAGGTACACCAGTTGAGAAACTGAATTAAGTCACTATCATAATAAGGCGCAGTTAATGCGAGTGCACTTTAACTGATAAAAATCTTCCACATACACTGAAAAACTGGTTCGCTAACAGATTTCAGTTCAAAAGTAAACTAGAAACACCACTTTCAAAATCCTTACTGGGCTTTTTCCTCTTCACCTAAGCGTGCTGATCAGGCTAGCCTATCCCTCTCCTATGGAGGTTTGGTTAAATCAGATGACTTATCCATCTTACAGTATATATAGCTGGCTGTGTTCTGGCAATGCCCAGACAGTCTGGCTGGTATCACACTCCATTGACGTGTCCTGCTGTGTGAGCAAGGACTGTGAAGACAATTTTGACTAAATTTCCCCCTGGCCTTTACCAATCATGTCCTCCTAATAATCCCCATCTCAGACCTGCAGGAGCTTAGACACAGCTCCCTACCCTCTGCACCTGACTGCTGTTATAGTAACTGCTGCTGCATTTTATGAATGCCCCTATTAAGCACAGGGCCATCAGATGATCCCTTTTCTGTCTGTGGAATCCAGGCATTAAACACTGTATCTTGAATCTGTTGGTTATCTTTGCTAAAGCTATGCCATCGGCGCTGAAATCTCTACTCCTGGGTGAGGAACAGATTCAAGCAAGAAGAAATGATGCCGTGAGTTTCCATCCATCCACGTTCAGTCCACTTGTCCTGGTGAGGGTCCTGATGGCAACATGTCCACAAGACAGGACCACACATGTTTTAGCTCTGCAAGAGATTCCAAATCCTAATTTTGGGGAATTCCAAAGCATTCCCAGGCCAGTTTAGAGGTACAGTGTCTCTAGTGTCTCCTTGCTGGGGCTCAAGGCTTCTGCCCGGCTCCCAACATATTTCCACTAGAAACCTCTTGACGGACCAGGTGCCCAAACCATCTCAGTAGCACCCCGCAATCCAGAAAAGCAGGACTTTACTCCAGGGCTCTCCCTGGCAGCTGAGCTTCTCACCCGGTCACAGGCAGCTGGCCTAGCAGTCCTGCAAAGAAATCTCATTTCCCCTGCCTCTACCTAGCCTTGTCCTTTCGTGATGAGCAAGGAGGAAGTAAAAACAATAGGGGAAGAATACTGATGCTGTTGTACATCTTGCTGTTGAATGTCAGGATGAAAGGACATTGGAGGGAATTAATCAATAATTCCCCACTGAGCTGATTAATCACAAGTGAAGCTTCACTCCCAGTGATCGTCCTAATCTCTCTTAAGACAGAGAGTTGCCCATGGCACTGTGCCTGCGTGCTTCAGTCTTCTTATATAGTGGTTTGTTTGTTTTTTAACGTTGCATGCTTCTCCCACACTGGAAGATCTGGTCTTTTGCAGCCGTGTCTGGGGAATATGTGATTCTTAACCTGGAGGAGCAGCCATGATTATATCTTGACAACACAGAATTGTTCTCCTCAAAGTCCTTTGCCTCTTTTAGACCAGGAAGATTTGCTCAGTTTTCCCTTCTAATAAGAAGGATCTTAGAAATGCAGTATGTGTTCGACAAAGCAAAAGTTTGTTAAAACATTACTTATATCTCTAGTCCGGACTGGCATATTTATATTTCATAATGCCTGTCTTCTTTACAAAGGCCCGATACATACCATAATAATTGGGTCTCTCTTAAAGGAAAGACAGACAGCATATTCAATCTATCCCAAATTTTAATCTCAAACTCCCAAGTGAGAAGTGTCATCTTCATCTTTACTGTATGTGATAATGATCAGATTACAGTCTAAATAAAACACGTATATCATTTTGTATTTTTGTGACTTCTCTTTATTGTAAGAAACATTCCTTAGGTTTGTTTCCTGCTGTAACTATGCAATATAATTTGTCACTTTTCTATTTTTTCCAAGATGAAATCCTCCAATCCACTTTGCCATCTTTCTTTACAGGATTTTCACCATGCTTTAGTATGCTTGATTTTGTTATGCTATGCCACAGTAAACTTTCATCAGGGAGCTTTTTCCTCATAAATAACACCATCACGGTAATTAAAAAGTTGGAGTGGATTGGAGAATTAAGGTAGATGCTGCTGTGAAACTGCTGATGGATTTTGTCTAGACCATTTAAAAAAAACAGGACTGCTTAAAAGGGCCTTAAATGTTCCAAACATTTTTTAGAATAAAACAAAGAATCCAAGTTCAGAAGAGGCTTGGATTAGCTTTTTGCCTGACACAGGCCTGAAAACCAGGGTGTCTCTAACTGGGCACTTCATAATGCAATTCAAGCACAAATACTTCATTCATCTCCAAGGGTGCAGAACACCACAACTCCAAACCTTAGGGTACCCCATAGGATCCCGTCCAAGTTCAGATCTGCAGTCAGATCAGTAACGAATTTCCGTGAATCGAGCAGGACAGAGAAAGTTTCCTGGAAATCAGACAAAGATTGCAATCTCATGCCATGTGACAAGCACGTGGAAATCAACAGACATGAACACAGGGAACAAGAAAGACCTCGTGCAGTCTCTGGTAGAGTGGTCTTGCCCTTTGCATTTGAGAAATAGAAAAAATAAACTGAATCACTGCCTTTGCCCTACAGGCTAGGCTTTGGATTTTTCAAATCATCTAAACAGAGTGTGGGACAAATGAATGGGATCAAGGAAGATTAGAGACTTTGTGCATTGGAAAAGACTCCCAGATAGTCCAGTGAAGTTAACCAGAGAAGGGCAGGTGCAGAGAACACAAAAAATGTCAAGGCAGGACAACATCAGGACAGGACGTAGCAGCGGTATAGATAAAACAGGACAAGCTGTCTAAGACACAGCTACGTATGGCTCAGTTAGAACTTCATTCACCGTGTACAAAGAGGAACACAATAAACACAGACAACAAACAGCAGATGCACTTTTTTTATTTTGCTTCATTCTAATTCTACATGACAGTACATTAACAAAAAAAAAGGCAAACAAGATTTTATTTTCCTTACTTGCACTAGAATATATGCATCTTCCTGTGTGGTGAAAACATTAAAGTCCAGCTGTCCGACTGGAATCCCGAAAAGGTGCCACTGGAATACTAAAATACATTTTTAATACAAAAATACATCACTTATTTACAGTATACATTTTCACTCGTCATGTGTACAAAGGCAATAAAAAATACCAAAGGTACTGTAGACAAACAGCAGTAAGGCGCAGTTCTGAATCTTTTTCAGTGGAGAAGATCAGATGAATCTCCTCTCTTAGAATACATTTTGTGCCTCCTCACACATGGAAACAGAATAGCAACTGGCAGCTGTTGGAACGTTAATGTAATGGAACATGGAGTTAAAATTTAAGCACTGCTTAAAAACTGGAGTTTCGTTAAATAGCCCAATGTTCTAAATAAATTATTAACTGAGAACGGGTGATTTACGACTGGCACTGGAGCAAGAGTACAGGGAAGAAGTCCTGAGCTGCCCGCACGCAGAAGCTGTTGGCACATCTGTGCCTTCCTCACACAAGGACATCAAAAGCTGATTTGGAGAAGATTCTGTAAAAATGGGCTTGTGAACCACCCCAGCCTGCTCAAGAGGTTTTTTCCAGCAGAGGCTGGGACCACTTCCACAACAAATTCTGTCATTCACAACCACCTCGCCAGTTCACCACCTGTGACTGTGTTCATCTGAAGTGCTAAGGAAACAACACAGGTCACAAAAGGGATCTGCGAAAAATGGAACCTTGAAACTTCTCATTGCTCATCTAGAGAATTGCTGATACATCTGAGGTGCTACTCCTCCCACATAAATACAAAACTAAGATTCTTGTTTCCCTTGTCAGTTAAAAACAATAGTTTAGAAAAGTCCCTAAGCTTTTAGCAACGGCGGGCATATTACATTAAAATATAATGATGTAGGCACTGTACTGGGCTGTCTCTGAACAGCTCTTATGCAAGAATGTGGCCATAATGATTGCAATTACTGCACATAAAAAGAAAAATAAATAAAGTCAATAGGCACCATCGTGATTAGAATTTGCACTGACTAATAATGAATCATTTTTTTTCATTGTGATTGCTGGACTGCCTGGTCCATTTCAAACTTCATTAGCAGACTATTGGCCGGGAAGGGTGAGAAACCTGTAGCAGCACATAGTTAAGGACCTGCTTCAAATACTGAAGTGCATATTGTATGCACAGTTAGTGCCAACTGAAAAAAATGGATTTGTGCAGATTCATCACAAATCCTAGCATGTAACTCCTACAGACCAGTTTTTTATAGTCTATCAAGCCACCTACCCAGTGTTATTCATTTTCCAGGGTTCAGGAAGTCACCTCCCTCTAGTTATACAACAGTTCACTTTAAAAGGGATACTGCAACACTCGAGGTTTAGTTCAGCACCTAGAGTGGTATCTTTAAAACTCCTCCAGCTAAAGGTAAAAAAACATTTTTCTACGTACTCTCAGGCATTGAAGATTGTTTTTATAAAAACATTTTAAAGTCAGGTTTTTTTATTGATATCAAACTCCAAATGGATAGTTCATAATCAGTCATAGTGCACGTCTTTCACACACCAGCACTTTCTTTTAAAAAACATATTATTCTAATTTTCCCCAAAACAGAGTAATTTAAAGCCATCTCAAAGAATATATTTCAAATTTGAACACTTATGCAGTATTAAAGTTTGGTATTATTCATTTTTACAATAACTAAGTAAAGAATGTTTTCTAGATTGCTTCTTGGCAATTCATTTTTTAAATAGGACATAAATGCCATTTACCTAATGTGTTCCTGTTTAATTTAATTTAAAAGTAAATTAGTGTTGCACCACCACAGTATAGAAGTGTAATTGTTTTCTGAATGCTACTCCTCATAGTGTTCTGAATACATACAACTTTCTTGACACAGAAATAAAGAAATATGTATATAAACTGTTTAACAGTTAAGAAAACAAGATCATGTAAACATTACATCGTCATTATTATTTACAATGAAAGCCAGTTCCTTTCTCTCATTTTTTCCTGCAACAGATAATGGCCTGCTTGTTTTTGGTGGGTGAAACATTAAATATTTAAAATTCAAGATTTTACCCCTGTCTCCCAGCCAAAACCAAATACCTCTATTTGACTGAAAACCAGAAAAAAAGTAGCAAAAAGAACATGCAATTGAGAGGGTAATTACCTCAAATTTGCAACTAAAAATAAAGTTTATGCACACAGCTGTACTGAAAAGGAGCTTGAAAGGCACTTAAATTTAAAAGCTTGTTAATCTGTAGTAACATATGCTAGAGTCAATGAAAATGGAAGTAATTGTATCCTAGTACAAAGACAGTACAGTAGTTACGTACGGATTTAGCAATATAACCAGACCATGCAATGTGAAACTAAATGACAGCTCTATAATCTGCAAACCCCAGATCCGGATAATTTCAAGAAAGAGGAAATATGAGGCCAGACTTAGAAATATGTGAATTTGCAGATAAAGTACAAATCTTTGGAGTATATTAAGGAATCTCAAGTTTGTAGCAGTCCTGAAGCACAGTGCAATTAGTTTTTATCGAACCACACAGTGAATTTGGATTTGATATCTTTTTTTCAAGCAAATGAAGTTCTGAATTCGGAACACCACCACACAACTCCCTAGGGTGGAAATCTATATGTCTCGCTGCTTTCCACAAAGTACCCTAGTACCCTTGATTTTTTCGGTGGTGTTTATCCACATATTGACAAGCTCTGTCAAGCACCTCTTCAGCACAGTTACCACAAAAACTCCCACTCTCTCCAAGCGCAGCAGAGGTAGACAAAGCAAATGAAGAAAGCAGAGGTACAGTACAGGATAGAATGCAAAAAGTCGCTTCTGTCCAAATCAATTTCGAAAGTCCTGACATTTATTTTCCAACTGCAAGAAAAACTTCCCTTCCTATAAAAAAATTGGTACTGTAAGTCATCGCCTTATTCCTTATCCCTCTTTCCCTCTCCGAGTGGGACCTGGAGCGTTTTTTTTGTTTGTTTTTGGCACAGTGTTTTACAAAGATGCCAGGGGGGCTTTTGGGCACTCTTGGGGCACTGTTGAGCTCAGTATGGAGCTGGCCTGGTGCCGTCCAGCCTCCCGGCCGCTGTGACCTGTCCATCGGGCGTCCATCGAGGCTGCGGAGAGCAGCCCCCTCCCGCGACAGGTTATAAGTATTCTGCGTTGCCATCAGGATTCGCCGCCCTGTGGAACGAAAACGAAACAACACAGGACTTGAAAATGAAGCAACAAAGGTCAACCTTACAGTGCGTCTGCTGGTGTGTCAAATTCAAACGTGCACCAGCTCTGGGTTCTCTGATTCTTCTTCGAGAAGAGATCACTGTCAATCAGGCTCCTCAGTTAAAAGAACAAAATCAAAGAGAAGCTCTACAACTATGCTACACTAATTCAGAACTTTTAAGGAAGAACTGCAAGTCAGCCTTGTCAGATCTGTGTGAGAGTCCAGCTTTTACACACTAATGGTCTATGCTTTGGGTGCACGGATGCCCTTGGTTTCTGGGGTCACCCTGGACAGTGTATGAAAAAACCTTGCAGGGCCCCTGAGCCCCAACCAGAAAGAGATCACTAAATTCCACCATGATCGTTTCTGGTTTTGCTCTCCGATTTGTTCCCTGAACCCCAGAGCAGCCCAGGACATTGCAGACCTGGCCTCACCTTTTGTGATACTGTTCTTTTTCGTGAATGAACTCCGAGCCCGTCCTGTTGAAGTCCATCATGTCCACGTGAGCCTTGCTGAGGTACTTGGTGGTTTCGTGCTCTGCCCGAGGACTGCGGGCTGGCGCTTCGTCGGGAAAGTCTCGGGGCGCTCCCTCCCAGTCGCCAGGGTTCTCCATCTTGAGGAAGGCGCCGTACCGATCCTCCAGTGGGGAGCCCTCGTCGTAGAACAGGAGGCTTCGTGAGCGAACTGAAACACACCGGACAAACACAGGCAGACATTGATGGGCTGTTCAGTGACGGGGGTCTGACAGAGATTGAGCACTCTTATTTTCAGCAACACTCAACCGTTTGATTTGGTTTGTAAATAAGTCGAGGTGAAAATGTTTACATTGTGAGCTCTGAACCTCCAGCCTGGATACAGATAAATATTTGTACAAGGTGAAAACCAATGGCACGACATTTAGTACTGTATTTAGGGCCGTCAAAATGATACTTGTAAATGGATTGAACCCAGGCTCGCCTCTATCCGGTGAACACACTGAGAACTGATCCGTCAAAGCAGTCAGCCTGTTTACTCCTCCAACAGCACCAGACAAAACCATAACAGCCTGTTATTCCACAGAAGCACGCTACGTAAACCATTTAATCTCGGGTACGTGACGCCTGAACCTGCACCTTTAATGGGTCAAACCAGCGTATCAAAGTGGAGTTTATTGGATTTTTACAACACTTTGAAAAACAGAAGAGAAGAATACAGGTGGCATATGGATCAGGGACACAGCGTCTGGATCATGAAACACATTTCTAATGAAGTTATTAGAGCCATTAAGAACTCTGTTCTGAACATAATGAGTAACAAGCAAGAGGTCTGGTTCTTCCTAATGCTTTAATATACCTTATCTGCTTTTAAATGTCACATCTCTACTCTTTTATTTCTATACCTTCAGTTCATCAAAGTACAATGGTGATAACTTCAGACTTTAAACTATGCACTGTTAAGATCCTACAAACTGAAATGTCATAATGCAGCACAACTAGGATATGAAATTCTGTCTGAAGAGGCTTTGAAGTACAACAATCATTTTTCTGCACAGATGATAGATTCTGTTTAAAAAGCCCTTCAGGGGCTATTTCAACTGTTTTATTTAACTATGTGAAATGTTTCTATTTCAGGTGGATGTTATTCGAAATCCGAAATGCAAAACAGAGCTGTAACAAAATGGGGTCGTGGATACATTTCTGAATATACATGATTGGTAATTTCCACACCGGTAAATACACACAGCCTCTGCAATGCTCAGCATTTCCCTTTTTTTCCCCAGATCTGAGGTTTCTACGGCAACCCTGAGCAGACCAGCCAATCAGAGCCGCTAGCAAAGCCTCACTGTTTTTAATTTGACTGTCACAAAGCTGATCTTAAACATAGCTGACTACCCTAGGCCAGGCTCTTTGAACACAAAACAACAGGCAGCTTTCAATTAATTTGTTCAAAACAAGTATACTGTCAGACACTCTCATTTTCCTTATAAGGGACAAAACCTTGATGTACAGTGGTGATACTAATCCTGTTAAATCAGATATAAAAGACAAGAATAACAAAAGAACAGAGGGGAAAAAAGACTTGGTACCTGTCCTCAAAAGAACCAGGTTTTTGTTCAATTTGAGGACCAATAACTTAATGTACGGAATTACTCTCCAAGGGCTCAGCTGTGGGACAGCAGGACATATTTAGTCACAAATATTAGACTTCATCTAATCAGTAGAGTTGCCAAATGTGGTCTATGGAAGTCTGGAATGACGTTTGGGTTTGGTTTAAACAAAATCCAACCCCAGTAGTAAAAATTATAAACCTGGTACCTTTCGGCAGCTTTGCCTTCACAGGAGGCTCCCTGCTTCCGGCTAACAGACACCACCCACCATCTAACCAGTTACCCCTCTTACTGGGAGTCTTGAGCCGATCTAACATAAACCATCCCTCTTCGTTTGGCACAGAGGTGTTAGCTATTCAGATCATTGACATTTCTAGAGAAAAACGCTGGTGGACAACGACACGCACTGTGACTGGTGGTGTACACATCTGCTGAGGCCAGTGGGTTGGATTTCACGGTCTGGGATAGCGAGGAGAACTCGGGCAAGCAGGGCATGAAGGAACCCAGGACCAGCACAAAACACAGCACAGCAACCTGCAGGAGGAAGAACCAGCAGGAAAAATAACCTTTCCAGCTGCACAGCATTCCATTCTGAGAATAAGCTATACTCGTTCCCAATACGGACACCATCAACCACAAATAATGCTCTTCTAGTTTAATAAATCAATTATTTATCATCAGTCCTTATCAGTATATGGGAACGTTTTTTTGTTGTTTTTTTATTTTTCATAGCTCGTCTCAAATTGGTAGGAAGTGAAACACTAAGGTGGGTTGTCTGCTGGAAGTGGAGTGGGGGGGGTTTGCATTGACAATGAAGTCACCATTAGAGGTCGCCAAAAGGTCAGCCCCCAGAGACTTGCATGTCCACACTTGTCAGTTCACTTGTGGTTGTATAATTGTGAATTGGCTGGGCTTTGGGAAGGCTCACACGGGGAATGGTGTATAAAGGTGTGCCATATACAGTAGAAGGAAGTCCAGTTTGGAGATTACAGTGTGGGATAAGCTCAGCTGATAGGTGGGGTAATAGCTGCTCAACCTGTAAGTCTAGTCTTTTTTTCTTTCACCTGTGAAGCCTCTCATTAAAAAACGCTTCACCAAACGCTGGACAAATCCAGGGAAACCTTATTTAGCACAGTGCTGTTTAAACACCATTAGATATTTTGCTAAATTACATGAAACTTTAGAAAGCAACAACTGCACACAAATTAAAAAAAAGTCATAAAGTTTATAACGGACGAGAGGAGAAGCCAATGGCCCAAGGCTTTTGAATGCAGGAAACATTTAAAGTGATTTTAAATGGACAAAGCAGGGAAGGGACAACACAGCTTTATGTGTGGAGAGATATATGCTTTTACCATTAGGCAAGTCCCTGTTTGGGTTGAAGCCATTTTGCAAGAGCGGGGCACCTTTCCAGCTACCAGGACCTGCAGTTTCTGCAGCTGCTGGAGGAGAGACCTGAAAAGCAAACACAAGACAGGTCTGTTAAGCCTGGCACACACCTCAGCTGTGAGACTGGACTTCCTCGCTGACATCATCTCTATATTTCTTCAAAATCAGCCCCTCGCCTCTTCATAAAACTAGGTCTTATTGATAACCAAGTAATGTTTCAAAAAATAAAACCTATTCCTGCAGCTCCCTGGCCCGGTGCACAGAAACGTCTTGCGAGACAGTACAGGCCTGCTGGCCTTTCACACCTCGCATGTCCCATCACCGCTGTGGTGACGCTGCTGTACGGCGAGGCTGAAGCAGTCGCAGACGTGTGAGGGCACTATTGACACCCCTCGCTGCGAGGCCCCCAGCTCCTGCCCCGGCCTGTCTCTCAAGGTCATGGTGCAGGGGAGGACTCTGACACCTCCTGCGAGCGGAGAGAGCCCACTGAACCTTTGACCACAACAAAACCAGCCAGGACAGGAGGTGACAACGTGACACGCTGTAAAGCTGCAGGGGGCGATACCTTCCATCGGAGTTTGAGAAAATAAATACGACCAAATTCATTACATCCGTTTTCTATCTGCTGTATCCAGGAGAGTATTACTGTGGAGCTGGAGCCTATCCCAGCAATCAACGGGCACAAGGTTGGGTTCACCCTAGAGAGGACACCAGTCCATCACAGGAGATACACACACACACAAACGCAGACACGTACACTCTCACACCAGGGCCAATATTCCCAGGAGCCTATTAACCTACCAATATGTATTTGGACTGTGGGAGGAAGTTGAGCACCTAGAGGAAGCCCATAAAAACTAGGGGAGAATACGCAAACTCCACACAGATAGCACCCCAGAAATTGAACCCAGGACCCCACTGGGCCAACCTAAAGGTACATTTCAAATTTGAATTCAGAAATGTGATCACTTTTTTCAGGCAACAAATAAACTGCAGATTGGGCTTACTCCTGTCCTCCTCTTTCTTGGTCTTTTGTAACTTCCCAGCCTCAGTTTGCTTTCAGAAAGTACTCAGCGCAAAGATCCAGAGGTCAGCGAGTGAGGCATGAGTGAAAGACAGTTATGTAAACCTAACCTCAGTGGTACTTTTTGGGCAGCCTACAGTATTTTCTTGCTTGCTGCAGCCAAAAGCAAAAATATCTTACAGCTACAACGAAGCCCCTGGCAAAAAGTCAAAAAGTGACGCCCACTGCATCCCTGCACAACCAGCATGTGGTGAGGTAGTCTGGGGTGACGCAGGACAGAGAGCAACGCGTGAAATTATTCTCAACAGCCATACTTCAAAATACGTGAGACCCAATGAAAAACACGTTTTAAAATAAAAAAAACAGTAAAAGTCAAATACAAATGGTGCAGACCTGTAGCTGAAAAAGTTATACACATTTAAATGTGTTGCAATTATTTGTCAACGATATTTCACATCATTAGCACTAAGGGCCAGTGCGTACATTAGAAAAACTAGATACTAGATGTCAATAATTATCTGGATGATGTTGTTGGATTCACAAAAAATGGATTTTTATTTATTATATTGTTGTTCAGTTTAACTTGCTATTCTGTTATCTGATTCTGAAGCATTTTCATATTGTACCAACTGAATTCCGTGCACTAGTTGCTGTTATATATCTTAACCACTAGAGGGACCTATCCGTCCAAAAATGTCATCAAATTCTTCTGTTCTTTTTTCGGCTGACTGATGCTGAATGGAATTCCAAAAAGGACTTTCCAGGGGGGTATAAAATACTTTCTACCACGATGTTCTCGCAATAAATTATTAGAGTAAAATAATTATATCATACCGATGCACTTTTAAATATGTATGACACAAAACCTTTTTTTTTTTATTATTCATGTACAGGATTAAACGGTTGTGTTGATAGCTACACTAATGAAGTTCTCGAAACAATACACTGCATTTGAATACTTGCATGATTGAGTTCTAGATACAGTATTTATCGTTTTCAAATGCGTTTCACCAGCAGCCCTGATCGATTGGAGCACTTATTTCCTTCACATTCCTAACAAGTTGCAAAAGTCATCCAGTTGCGGCTCTTTATAATTCCTTTTAAGGCGGCACTGTCGGTGAATACTGCAGTGGATACTGGAGTAGTCCGCTAGGAGACAAGGGGATTTATCCTTATTGTATCATATGTAACACACCCCTCCTTGGAAAACTCTGAAAGAAAAAACTAAAACTTTTGTGACTTGCTCACATTCGCCGTGATTTAATTAAATACCGGCGCGCAGGGGAATTTCACGTCAATATTCCCTTTGCGTCTCAAAGTGGCTAACTAATTAAAGACAAATTAAAAAAGTACAGCAGGCACTCTTCTGTGTTTATGTTTGCTGGCACAAAGTCTGCCTGACCAGCGAAGTGTGTGACTAAATCGTTCCCCGATTATGCGCGACCCATCTGGAGTTTTGCAATAGTGATGGATTATCTGGCAGAAATGCCGAGTGATCACCTTCGTTTTTTTTCTCAACGTTTTCCTCTGCTTGAACCATACACTAATCACTTTTTTAATATATAGACAAAAACTAACGACCAACACCCCCCGCTCCTATATACCTGGTGGAAGAGAACCACCGCTTACAGTAAGTTAGTTACAAAGTTACAGCGTCGTTTCCTGCTTTTACTTTTCACGGTAACTTCCGCGTGTTTTGGTCACTATAGTGGGACCTGGCTGCCCTGGGAGGTTCTGAGGTTTAATGGTGGGGTTTTGGGCTGGTGTGGAGTCGATCTGAAAACAAAAACCGAGCACTAAGAGCAACCTAGTCTGTGAAGTTTTTCTCCCTTTTCTGGTGTTTTTTTCCAATTGCTCTTCTGAGTTTTATTCGGAGATTTCCATGACTAAATAATCAAAGCAAACTTTTTATTTGCACTGTAATTATAATGGCCACGACATTCCGTCACTGCTACGCGAGAGCTGGAAATATTCACCAGCAATTAAACATCTGTCAATAGCCACTCAAGACGCAATAAAAATAAATGCGATCTACGTATCTGCGAGCGTTGTGTGATAATGTCAAAGCTATGACCTCAGTTAAGAAGATAAAGGAGAACATCCTCCACACTGCAGGTAAATAGCCATTCGCTAAGAGTTTCCACTTATTTTTTTATTGTACTGTATATGCAAGCTATGGAAAACGACTAAATGTTCTGTCGCGTATGGGGTGCATTAGAATCACTCCACTTGATCTGCAAGAGCAGATTCAGCCAACGTAAATTCCTCAATGACTCGTTTTTTGTACCTCCCGCTGCCAAACCCCGTCAATGCTTAATAGAGCAGCGTCTGGGAATTTCTACAAAAACAAAAGTCATGTTCCATGGGATTTCTCTCTGGTCTTTTTAAACAAAAAAAACCCAAAATGAAACCTGTTTAAATAAATTCCAATTGCCACATCAAGCCTTTTATGTAGGGTATACAGTCAGGGAATACAATCACATGTCAGAAGTTGTGAAGGCAACATACTGTACTTATGTTTCATTTCTATTTATAGTGAGATGGTTTAGATACATTTGAACGGAGAGTGGCATTTCTGATATTGCGCTGTGCTCTGGTTTTACCCGGAGGACACAAAGTTCAAACTAAATGGATGTGCATTTAGACCCAAGAACAGGAGGCATTTCTTTCCTCAAAGGGTTGTGAGGGTATGGAACAAGCTGGATAGTTGTGTTGTTGTAGCTATTACCCTGGATGAAATCCTCAATTAGCGACTAACTACTATACAGAAAATGTACTCCCATCACACATGACTTTCTTAAGTTCATCTTTTGATTCCATTCCAGCCTTCAAAGGATTGTTTCAATTAATTTCAGGCTTTATTATTTATGGATTGAATTGTTTCTGGAGCTTTGATCTATCTCTAAAACAAACATGCATAGGAAAACTTCCTGATTCATATCAGCATGGACCCAGTTTGCAGTTACTGTTTGTAACCTACAGTAGCAGGGGAGAAGGAGATTCAACATTTGCTATATTATAGTGCTTAAATCATCAGTAGTCTGCAAAGAACCTGAGGTAATGGAGACAATAACATCTAGAACTAGCATGTCCAATCCTGTCCAAAGAGGGTCAATGTATCTTCATTCCAACTCAGCTCTAAACAAGCTATATATACATTATAAACAAACTATATGAACAAGCTATATACTGTATATAATAGCCAGCAGCTGTTTCACCCTACAATTTACAACTGGTAGCACACTGAAGCTCAGCAGCTGTGAGCCTGGTCAGTACCTGGATGGGAGACTCCTGGGAAAGCTAACATTGCTGCTGGAAGAGGTGTAAGTGGGGCCAGTGGGACCTAATGCTAATGTCCTAATGCTAAATAATTTTTACACTATATGCCGTCCTTTGGGTGAGACATAAAACCGAGGTCCTGACTCTCTGTGGTCATTTAAAATCCCAGGATGTTTCTCAACAAGAGTAGGGGTGTTCCTCTGCTGTCCTGGCCATATTTCCCCCTGGCCTTAATCACTCATGGCCTCCATACAAGTCCACCATATACATATACTGTAAGTGTAAGGAGTTATTTATATTTTTGACCTGACTTTGCTTTCTGTCTTCTCTGGTCCCCAGTCAACCCTACTTATTAAAACAGCTCAGTGTGCCAAGTTTGTAATCATTCATAAGATCACTAGGAAGGCTACAAATGAGAGGAGGCTATTTTGGTCCATCTAGATAATTTGGTTCTTCGTAGTTAATTAGTCCCAGGATCATATCTGCTTGTTTTTTCTTGAAAGAACACAGTGTATCAGTTTCAACAACATGGCTGGGCAGCTTGTTCCACACTCCCACCACTCTTTGTGTAAAGTCTCCTGTTTTCAGTTTGAGTGCAGGTCCACATAGTTTTCACTTGCCTCTTCTGGTTTGAATTTCGCTGTTCATACTGAAGAAGTCTGCTGGGCTGACGTTATCGAAACACACTGGTGCGCTCCAGCAGAGATTGGCATAAAGGCACAGGGGTTGCAGCTTTAAAACCCCAGTCCTGGGAAGAAACACTGTAAATGTGGTCCTGGTAAAAGAAGCAATGTAACTGAGACCCCTCCCTGAATTAAAAAGTTTGTTTGTTTTTTAGGTGTTTTGCTAACAAACGTTTTGATCAGAAACCAAAGCCAGGCACAGTGTGACTTTCTCCATTTGTAGGCTACATCATCTGTCTTGACATTAACTCTGTTCCCTGTGTGGAGCATAAATAAGATTTTCATGGTCTTTCAAAACAAAGGGATACATTTGTGCTTAGAGGGGGCTCCTTACACATTCAAATTGATTTCAGATGTGTATGCTTTTGCATATGCAAGGGATAGCATTAAAAAAGGTAATCTACTGTGCCAGTGCCATGCAGGCACAGAAAAAAATTCCCTGCAGCTAAACCGACATGCATATTGAGAAATTCAACCTAGATAATTCCTTAACCTCCTCGTGTATGTATTTTAGTTAATGAGAAACCTCTTGCAAGCAATTCATGGAACAATCCATTTTGATATAGTCAAACATTCAAAGTCAAATCTGGCTTCTGCTGTTTTTTTGTCTTTCTTTGCTGTTTCTTTCTTGAAATATTTGATTTCTTCAGTAGAGTTTTGCAGAAATTAATAAACACAGAGAGTCTCTCCTGGCTCTCACCTGTTGGCACTCTCCAGCGTTTCCACTTTCTTCCACAGCTCGTTGTTCTCCGAGGTGTATGTCTCCACCCTGCACAACCAGAACACCCACACTCTTAATCACAGGATCGGAGCACACACCATCACACTTTTCTCATGTTTTTTTCTCATGTCTCTGGCCTGCAGCAGCCCCGATAAGACTGCATCTATCAAGGGCAGCTCAGACATTTTGAAAGGCCAAAGAACACATTCAGATATACTGTGTGTTTCCAAAACATATTTGGTAGTCTATCCATAAATTTTTTTTTTGCACGACAAAAAGAGTAGTGTCAGGCATATTGTCAATGATCTGCTCCATGCTTAGTTACTCTTCATTCTTCACTTCCTCACTGCTGCCAATATTCTGTTGTTCTCTGTCTGAGGCACAATACATCTTCATTAGGCCTCACCTAACATGGTGTTTATCTACTGTACTTCAGTCCTTGGTGCCTCTAAAAGGTCTACATTTCTGATTCAACTGGGAGATCTAAAACGTCTGAAGTCATACAACTAAATAACATCCGCTCTAAATTTTGCCAAACCAAATTTCAGTCGACGTGACCAATCACAAAAGATAAACCCTACAGTATATCTGACAGCAGCATTATCCATGAAAGAAGAAAGCCCTGTCAAACAAGAGTCTATCATTCATACCTGTATTTTTAGTTTGAAGATGAGTCAAAAGTTCCATGGCTATTGTCTACTGAAATGTTTGCCACTTTGTTTCAAGGTAACAACTGATCTGGTTTTTTAAGATTCTGATCAGCGTGAATTAAAGTTTGCTAAATGACAAGCTTGGTTTCTTATCACCCAAGATCATCTGGTTTAACGACTGTTAAATTCATTATAACAGAAGGAACCATGAGAGGAGTTGAGTAAATTGTTGATGTTTAAAGCACAAATAACGCCTGGATTGTGTCCAAGATGTCTAGGACAAATACACACACATTCTTAGGTCTTCACAAGCTTCAGAAGTTAGCTAACAAGGAGTTAGTCCCTGCAGTACATGATTCTGTCTACATAAGGTAGCCAAATAAGAAATATTTCAATTAACAAGAAATTAAGGACCCACTGTTGAAAAATCAAGCTTACTTCTTCTCTAGGCACTCCACATACTCCTTCTTCTTGCGCCTGCTCTCCTGAGCGGAAATCTAATTGGAATAAAAAGGTACAAGCAGCTTTCAGTAATTGTAACATGTAAACCCATGTACAGTATAATGCCAAGAAAAAAAATCAACTTTAATACAACCTAATGTTTACTTTTAATTTTCATAAGCAAAGCATTAAGAGAAATGTTTATTTTTATGGGCGGCATAGCATTTTGTCCACTCTTGAGTCTTTTACATAAGGAAACAAAAAGATGAGAATCCTAAGACTAGCAATTGATTCAACTATTCAATACCAAAAGAGGATTGATTGCTTTAACTCGGGCAGTGTTTACCATTCATTTTCAGTGATCACTTTTTACTCCTGGGGTTGGCGCAGAACCAGAGCCTAATCTGGTAGCAAGGACACAAGGAGGGACCACATCTTGAATGGGATGCCAGTCGTTTGCATGGAATTTAGCAGGGCACACATGGACACAGAAGGAGCCCCAGGTGGGAAGAGCAGTGAGGAGCGATGAGAACAGCACACCCTGCCATTACAGCAGGATATGGAGAAACCAAGCATCTGCATCTTCGTTCCAGCCTGGTAAAACCAGGTTTCACTTCCTGTCTTCTGGAAAGAAGAGGCTCTGAAATTTCAGAACTTCATCTGAAAAGTTGTAATATAATGTCCCAATTTAGTCACTGCAGGACTTTACACAACACAGCTTCTGAATTGGATTTTCCTGAAGAGCTAAATCAGCCCCAAAAGGTGCAGGTGTGCCAACAAGGTTTTAATCACCTTGTTCTTGATCTTCCTCCTGACCCTCTTCAGTGCCTTCTCCTCAGCCTTGGTGAGGGGCAGTTTGTTGGGCACAGGGTAGCCCTCCGCGATGAGGGTGCGCTTCTCTTCCTCTGTCAGCATCAGGGGTCCTGAGGTTCCCTGCAGCTTCTGCGGGACGAAACCAGAGTGGAGGCTCAGTGCTGGCGGCCACACAGCAGTGTGCTTGGTCTGCAGAGACCAGGAAACATGAAGCTCCACTGTTCTCGCTACAGCATCCCTTCCCAGAATTCCCTGCCTGTGGTACTGTAGATCTTCTCCGGCTACCTCTGTCACTCTGACCTCTGTCTCTCCGATTCCCAGTTTAATCTGGCTTTGATTCAAATCAAAACCACAGTATATGACCGTGATTATGTGGCAATCATTATGTCTGTATAACTAATGAAAGGTTAAATTAAACCAGTTCTACACTGCAAAAGATATTTCAAAACAATTTCACTTTCCTTATCAAACGCAAGGCATTTTGTTTTTATCTGAATGACACTGCTGAATCTGCTCCTGATTAGGACTGGGTTAGTAATAATAATAATAATAATAATAATAATAATAATAATTGCTTACACTTATATAGCACTTTTCTGGACACTCCACTCAAAGCACTTTACAGGCAATGGGGATCCCCTCCACCACCAATGTGCAGCATCCACCTAGCATCTACTAGTATCATGCTTCTACCCAGCATGGTCTTGTTTGGAGGATCTGAGAAGCGTGCAGGCAGACTTCAAGCTTATCAGATCGCAAGTGACTTTCTAGCCAAGTCTCAAGCCTAGCCGAGAGCTATTTTCTTTTTATCTAACTGGGTTCCCTAATCCAAAAAGATTTATTTCCTGCGTTCTTATCAGCAACGCCAAATTCTGAAAAGAACGCATCAGCACGATGACTCACTCCTACTACAGTCAACCGAAGCAAGTGTGAAATGCATTTTTCAACCTCTTGGCAGCCCATTCTCATCTGGGCTCCTGTTAGCAATGTGGTCCGGATCCTGAAATGTTTCCAAGCCGTGTGGTTTTGAGAAGCAGGGAAGGTCTCACTGGTGTTCAGTACATCGTCTGGAGGAGCCTCAAGCAGCCGATGAGAAGAAACATCGGCTTAGCATGCAAACCCGGGGACTTCAAAGGAGGTAACCGGGCAGGCTGGCTGGGCAGGGCGGCAGCTTACGTGGGGGGCGGTGAGGAGGGGCGAGGAGGAGATGGCGGTGGAGGCGCGGGGGGGCAGGCGCGCCGGGCTGGAGGGGGGCAGGGAGCGGGGGCTCTGGGAACCGTCGCTGTCGCTGCCGTGGCTGCTGGGAGGAGTGGGCGGCAGCTGCAACTGCTCATCTGCCAGAGGGGAAAGAGGGAACAGGTCAAGAGAGCCAGCATGGTTTCGACAACCGGGAGAGGGCAAGCACCAGTCAGACTCGTAGGACTGCACGCCCCTGGCTGTGGAACTGAGGAACAGGCCACCCAGCCGTTTTGTTGAAGCAGATACCCTGACGTCTGTCAAGAAGCAGCTGAATGAGATTCTCCAATCAAGACAGGAGGCAGTACTTTACACACAGGGATGTGGGGGTTTGGAACAGGCTACCCAGTCATGCTATCGAAGCAGGCACCCTGGCGCCTTTCAAGACACAGCTGAATGAGATTTTCCAATCCATCCCTTCTCATGGTAGTGGGAGGTCTGGAACAGGCTTCCCAGCCATGCTAATGAAGAAGGAACCCTGGGGTCTTTCAAGACACAGCTGAATGAAATTCCCCAATCAAGACAGGAGGCACTATTTTACACACTGGGATGGGGGGGGGGGGTTGGATCAGGCTACCCAGCCATGTTATTGAAGCAAACATCTTTGTGTCTTTCACGAAACCATTGGATCAATTAGCTACCAGCAAACAGGCCAGATGTGCCAAATGCAACTGTTCTTATGTTGTTATGAATGACCACTGTAGGGAGTATGCAGCTTTCTAAAATCACAGGTTAAGAGGCCAATTAAAACCAAAAGTCAAAACTGTTTGACTGCTGCTTCTGATGACACTAATAATGCACCCATAATGCCCCAGCCCTGGGAGACAGTGACATGAATTGAACCCACTCGTCTCAAAAAGTCTGACAGTATTAGAATATTAATCATACTCTAAAAAGTAAATGTGACTTCAGTTTTCCCAGGTCATTTAAAATTCCTTGATCAATTCAAAGTCCTGTAATGCCAAAGAAAGTCCACAGAGGGCTGTTCTTAATAGCCTCCGTGTGAGTGCAATAAAGAATTTTAAGATAAAGAATGCAGAACTGTGCACTAAATTGTAAAAATGGATTATTCTGAGAAATGCTGGACCGTGCATTTAGACTGGCCGCATTCCAAAGTACGCAAAACTAGTTTAATTGTTGTTACTGGAAAAGGCAGAAAGCACTGGGTAAATCTTTGTATAAAGCAGACACATCAGAAAAGAAATAATAAACGTTTCCAGCTTCCATTCTGCAGCTCAGCAATTATTAGATATACCCTGCTCTTATTAAGCAATTAAGTCTAGCAATGGATAAGGAGATTGGATTAGGCATTTAAAGATGTTTATTTTGTTGCAATCCTTTGCAATCATCAAAGCATTTTCAGCATCTTCAGCAGTCAGTAAAGTATCTTTTCAACAGAATAACTACTGTAGGTGATCTGAGAGGCCAGCAGGTGCTGCTGTTTCAGTGCTGCATGTCAACCCTCATTAATGCTTATTTTGGTGAATCTGCATGGGTTCTCTATACTCCTCCAAGGCCTGTACCATGTGTTTATTTAGATTTGCAACGTTTTCTTGTTTTCTGTGATGCTTTCTCTCTGTTTTATTGTACTTTTACCATTCTTCACTTCACTCTTCGTTTCCAATAGGAAACCCGGATGCATTAAACATTATTCATGAGGTCAGTGGATATAGCATTGCTTCTATTGCCATTTACAGCACTTTGCACAACCACAGAGGATTCTCTTCTAATGTGATGTAACTGAGTGCACTACCTTGGTGCTAGCTGTAACACAGGCACATAGCAGGTCGGAATTCACATGCCCTTGGCTGTTTAAATGATCCATTAATAATTATGTTTAGAATTCAAACAGAACAGCACAGGGAATAAAAACACACTACAGACTGAAGCTTTTGTTAAAAAGGAATAATTCTCAACTGCTGAAAGACTGGAGAGGTTTGACATTTTAAGATTGGACCCAAGACCCACTAATACCCGAGTCAAACAAGACCTTAAAATACCTAGTGTGGGTGTTGGCAAGACAATGAGGCTATAAGGGGCTGAAGGACAGGGTCTGCCTAAGCACCAATGAGGCGAGTATGGTTACTGTGCCTGATCTAAAGAGAAGCCCGGTGAGTGGTACACTTCAGGAGTTAGCTGCAGACACTCCTGAATGCAATAAAATCAACAGTAGAAAAGGACTTCTATTCCCAAGAAACACAGCAAACACAATGTCCCTTGTGAAATACACACAGGCTACTTACTTTACAAGTTCATTTTGGATCAGTGTACATTTAAAGGCCTGCAGACCTTTAAAACTTAAGAGTGAGCACATTATAAGCACTGCTCACCTGTTTAAAACACCCGACCTACCCCAGACCCAGAGGATTGAGTATCGGTAGGCATGGGTCTTGAACCAAAGAGGTATTTTCCCAGGAAGAAACAGGAGTGGTCTGCTTTTACCATGGAAACTGGAAACTGAAGCACAGTGCTGTCTGTGTATGACTCTTTGTCCACAACATTAGAGCACGTGGGGGGAAGGAGGAGCCCAGATTAAATAAATCACTTAAATATAGAAGCTCCATAAATTCTGACATTCTTATTTAACCCATTTAATAATCATGAAGGGAAATAATGGGCTACAACCAAACCTCAAGAGGACTACCATAACAATTAAAAACTCAGATTTACCATAAAAAGTTCTTACATTTACCACTTTTTCTTTTGCCCCACTGGGAAGACGTGAAAATGCTACGGAAAAGTTAATGTGGCCAAATAACACAAGGGACATTTCTCCATTTCTCTGCTGAGGTAATGTTATAACAAGCTGCACTGTGATGAACTTGCTGCAGAGCGACAGGTTTTTTCAACCAATGGGGTCCAGTGCACAATAACTCCCTTCCACACAGTAGGTTCCCACAGTGAGGCCAGGCCGTGTGGCTGAGAAACAGACAGAACTTCTACAAACCTGATGGAACGTTGAGGAACTGGTTAACATCTCTGGGCTCAGCTTTTATAGGTGGCAGGGGACTCAGAGCTTTTGGAGCCTGGAAAGGGAAGATGAAAACGAAGATCAAATGAGTCTCCATTTTTAAATGATGGCCAGGGGCCGAGGGGTTGACGGCAGTCAGCCCACAAATTAAAAAAATCCCTCTGCCTGCAGATCCCTTCTTATACCGTGGTTCTCATATCAGGTGAGGTTTTTTTCTTTATGCATGCTATCCGTAATTGAAATTGGATTCGAAATGGGCCAATTCGGAGAAACCCCTTCAGGGGTTCTTCTTAAGTGTTAAAAAGTACTGTACTTTCTTCAAATACATACTTGGCTGCCTTTCAAAACCCCTCAGCAGCCTTCCGATGTATTATGTTTCTGATACCCATTCATAAACAACGCAGTGTAATTGTAATCACAGAAAAGCTCAAAACTTCTGCTCATCCTGGGGAATCCAGATGCTTAAAGTGAATATATCAAAACCCCAGCACACAGGGTAAGAGGCTTGAGTGACCCATCTGCTTGCTGCACAAGGGGGAGAGGCTTTGTATAAAACACAGGCATTGACGAATGACTCAGACAGTAAACACAGCTGAAAGCTGCTTAAAACAATCTCTGTTTATTTTGAAATGGGTGCCATTCATCTTGCCACATGGATTTTGGAGAAGACCCAGGGAAGAAGTAAAAGGCCACTCCACAAAGTATCGTTAACCCACACGTCTGGGTTTAGTTTTTATCTAAAAAGAAGGAACTGAAACCAGACCATACAGTATGTCCCAAAAAGTGCATCACCTACAGTAGAAGGCACGTAGCTATCCTTGAACTGACTCTCATTACCTGCTATAGTTAGTTAAAGGAGTATCACAGTATTTTATACCCTGTAAGCATTATCGCATCTAGAATTTGTCCTGCCCTTGACAGGCCTTGTCTTTTCTTAATTTCCCTCTAGTTTTCATGCCAGATTTTTTCCTAAATTAATATTGCACAATATGGCGTTCACTCATAAGATTTTTCTTTACGCCTTTAAACAACCGTGCCTTCTCGTACGGTCAAAATGTTAGCCATCATCCCTATGAATTTAAACTGGTTTGTTATCGGTTGAGGAATTAATTGCTCTAAACTACAGGCCTGTTGATGTCTTTAAAATGGCAAACAATGTCAAACAAATCAGATTAATAATGTGTTAGGTTCAAAGGAAATGAATTTTCCAGCTATGATATCTTACAAACACAGTGTGCCAAATTCTATACAGTATGTGGTGAAAAGTTCAGACTCAGATATGAAGAATGCAAACTCTTAACACGAAGCAGTGTGAAGACATTAAGAAGAGGATTACTGCTTGGAAGGCAGCACTGGATGCCTGGGTCATTTAAAATTCTGATTCATTCCATCACATTTCTCACTGGCTATTACTATGCTTGCTTTTCTGAAGAATGTTATGCATTTCATAGCACTGCAGAGGATGAAGACCACCCGGTCTCCAGACAGAAACTTTTTCATAGCGTAGTCCACTACTGATAAAAATGAAATAGACACAGACACCTCCAAACAGACATACAAGCATAATTAGGCCAGAATGTGTCACAGTTATAAATAAATCAAAGAAAATCAAAAAGTAAAAAATGTATGAACCATCACTGTATGGACAATGACAGCAGTAAGTCAAGGAAAAGTCTGGATATTACAAAATTTCCATCGTGGGCCCAAACCTTCCCCTGTCGTATTCACATTCTGCTCCATATTGATTGACTGATCAGGCGGAAACGCACTAATGTATACCAAGTACATTGATATTCCTCACATATATTCGATTTTCTGCAGTTATTGTCATTATATTCAACTCGTACCTAATTTTTCCATCCAGAAACTAGCTTGCATTGTGATTCAGTCATCTGACCATCCGTTATCCAGTACAGAGTCGGGGGAGACGGAGCCTATCCAGGCAAGCAATGGGAGCAAGGCAGGATACACCCTGGAGGGGGCGCTAGTCCACCGCAGGGCACACACTGACACAATCACACACACTCACGCACTTGCACCAGGGCCAGTTTTCCCAGAAGCCAATTAACCTACTAGTATGTCTTTGGACTGTGGGAAGAATCTGGAGCACCTGGAGGAACCCCACACAAACACGGGGAGAACATACACAGGAACCCCTCCCCAGAAATGGAACCCAGGACCCCAGAGCTGCAAGGAAGCAATGCCAGCAGCTATATCCCCCTGCAGCCCACAGCTGGCAGCCCACTGGAGCTCAGCAGCTGTGAGCCTGGTCAGTACCTGGATGGGAGACCTCCTGGGAAAGCTAACATTGCTGCTGGAAGAGGTGTTAGTGGGGCTGGTAGGGGGCGCTCACCCTGCGGTCTGTGTGGGTCCTAATGCCCCAGTATAGTGTAAACAGGTGCTGTTCTTCGGATGAGATGTAAAACCGAGGTCCTGACTCTCTGTGGTCATTAAAAATCCCAGGGCGTTTCTCGAAAAGAGTAGGGGCATTACCCCAGTGTCCTGGCCAAATTTTCCATTGGCCTTTGACCATCATGGCCTCCTAATAATCCCCATCTCTGAACTGGCTTCATCACTCTGCTCTCCTCCCCACTGAGAGCAGGTGGGGCTGCACACTGGTGGGGGTGGAGGGGAGCCCCATGACCTGTAAAGAGCTTTGAGTGGAGTGTCCAGAAAAGTGCTATGTAAGTGTAAGCAGTTAATTATTAATTATTATAATTATAATTATAATGCCCGTGAATGATTCAAACCCTTGCCCTTACCATGTCCTCCGGGGGGCTCTCTCTGGGCGGGGGGGCTAAGTTCAGTGGCTGCGGGGGGTTGCCCATGAGGGGGGACGGGGCTGGTTCAGCCAGCAGGTTTGGCTCCTGCTTCACCAGGATGGCAGTCAGGTCATGACCGAAGGACCAGATACTCCCATCGGAATCTGCAAAACAGCGGCAAGCACAAACAAGGCTGAGCACCGAGCGCCAACACCCCAGTGCTCGGCCCAGCACTGCAAATTTAAGAACCTTAAGTTCTGCACTTTTAAAACTGTTTAGTAATGGCTTTGAACATCAGTCTCATTGGACAACACATGCATCCACTCAATAAACTGTTTATGATACAGTAATAACGCCCAGAAGCTTGTGGTGCTTTTGAAGAGGGGCTTGACAATAAACCACCAGGTGAGACACACTCCTCCTGCTCTTCAACACATGGTTTGGAAGGTCCTCCGTAATGGCGGAGAGCTAATGTGAAGCAGATTGCGTTGCTCGCTGGAAAGCCAAATGTGAGACCGAGTGGCCACTCGCAGCGGCACTGCACACGCTGAAGCCCTTCACGGTCCTTCCTGTTAAAGAGTGTTGCTGCTGATATTTCAAAGTGAAGCACAGGGTTTGGAAAAAAACAACCAGGGGTCCTTGTTAGTAAGGAGGGCTTTTTCAGCTTTCTTCAGTGATTGGATCGATCAAACATCACAGGGCCTTGTAAAAGATGAGGGCTTTTCTTTCAAGTTTGATTTTTAACGAAAGGCACGTTGCGGTCCATCAAAAGAACCTGGAGGGGAAGAGGAAATGCTACAGTAGGAGATTCATTACGTGCAATATATAAATCTTTTACAGTTTTCCATGTAAAACCTGCAGACTATACTCAGTGCCAGGATCAATGAGCTTATTTCATCCTATACATCTCAGTAGGCGCTGGAGTTCAGTCTATGGAGCCTTTATCAAAAATACAGTTAGAGGTAAAGATTAACTAGGATGCAGCATTAACCTAATTCTTCACATTAAGGTCATAGCCACTATGTTAAAAAAAACAAGGCTTGTCAACATAAAGATTCTAAGCACCTTCTTGGAACTGTATGCACGAATATGTTCATATTGTCGCCCTGAATCACCCAGAACTCAAAGAAAGAAAGAAAGATCTATAAATCATGACATTTCACATTTGTTAAGATCTTAAGGGCTCTGTCAGTTCCGCGAACACAAGAGAAACATGAATGACATGTGCTGGCTCCTGTAACTCATGTTTTCACAGTAATCAAACCTCAGTTATTTTTCAGGTTTCATCTGAAAGGAGCCGAAGCCATTTTCTCAAAGTTCCGCCTTTCAGCGACCATCAGTATTTTAAACCACCAGGCTACTTCTTTCTGTGGGTTAATGAAGCTTTTCCACAGGCTGTGGAAGACAGGGCACTGATGCTGGCCCCTTCTGGGGTTCCCATGGGAACAGGATTACAGCTCAATAAACACATCCCTGAAACTGAAGGTCAATAAATAAGATGGTGACAGAGCTAAATAATCCTGCAACAAAAGTGACACGCAGAGCTCTTGTTACACTAGCAAATGAAATGTTCTAACAAAACTACAACATAATGGTGACTTCTAAAGCTGAAATGTTGGAAATCAAGTCATTACTAATTGATCTTCACATTTAATTCTTTTTTAGGTTATCAGTACTGCACATAAAAGGGCAATAGCTAACAAATACTTCCCCCTCAGGTGAGATCTCTCATGTTTCTTAAAGGTCCTGTGTTCCGCAATGGAAAAGATACATCATAAGAAATCTTATGCTTTATGAGAGCTTTAGTATATTATAGTAGGATAGTATACATGTAATACACATATCAGAACTAAAAAGAGGGTCTAACTATTTGGGGAGTTCGACAGTATGGCTGTGTACATACAGTATGGTGTTGGGCATGAGAAAGCTCTATTGATCATTGTATGGAGGCTGGCTTCCATCAGAGTAAGAAGGTCAGATCTCTTTGCAACTTTGCAACTGTGTTCTGGAGTGAGTCCCACCCTCTTGCTTTGAAGCAGAGTTTTTATTTGCATAGCCTGTTTAAGGGCTCACAGGACAAACTGCTCCTGAGTGTTGGAGTGGCTCATTAGCTGGGCCCCAGCCTGGGTGCCTCCTGGTGAGAGCTCATCAAATTAAGCCTCCTCCAAAAAAAAAAAAAAGACTTGTAAAGTAGATGTCTCATGTTTTACCAGCTTGGTTATTTAACTAATGATCATGAGCTGATACGATAAAGATACTCTCATGCTGAGAGAAAAGGAGGTTTTAAAGCCTTCTTGCTAAAATCAATAATTGTGCATGAACTGTATATATCCTTTTAAGACTATAAGCATTATGCTGTTATGTACAGGGTGCTTATAAACCCAGCCTGCTTGAACAATGATACTTTGAATACTGTGCACAATGGGGTGAGGAGAGAATACAACTGTAAGAACATAAGGAAGGTTACAAACTGCAGTCACTCGGCCCGTCCAGGCTGTTTGATTACCAGCAGCTCAGAAGCCTGTGCATCAGCTTGAAAAACATGCTTGAATAGCTTGTTCCAGACACCAAAGGTCTATTCCCCTCGCAAAAGGACACTACATGGCAGAAGGCATCAGTGCTGCTTCAATGTGGCCACCAGCTGTGTCTGTGATTGCTTGCCTGCGTGGAAGGACATGGTACACAGCCTCACGTAGCTGGTCAGCGTCTGCTGTCATTGTCAGTGGGAGTGCACTACCCAGGATCCATGTGTTTGAGCGGAACAAGCCTCAGAATATAGGATGCGGCAGTTATGATGACATGACTCTCTGGATCTCTCTGGAGAGTTCAGAACGCAGACTCTAAGGGGTCTGTTATCAAAATAGCTTGTCTGGTCCAAGCATTCAGAGATTCAACTCAACTTGATTCAACTCCACAGTGCACACTGGTCACAATGTATGTGTTCATATGGACAGCTGACTGTACGTGCACTTTCCTTCTATATATATTAATGTACACTGTAAATCCAGTCAGTGTATACAATTCTATAGTTATTCTCCAGTTCTGAAAAGCTATAAAAATGTCTCACCCAAAAATGTGCTCTAGTTTTTTATTTTCAGAGTCTTCTATTACAGTGATATTATTGACCTAGACATAATTAAACTAGACCTACTTCAATTATTTATTTGAAAAAGCCGCAGTTTAAAATTTCGGCAAGTGAGCACAGGGAATTTATATAAGTGGATAATTTAATAAAATCTTTTTCTCTGGAGTGCGACTAACACCACATCTTGGGTAAGGAAAGCAAAATCAATCCGGATTTAATTATAGAAGAGATTTAAATGAAGGTCTGCTTTGTTTTATCAGTGTTTTCATTTAAACTCGCGTTTTTGAAATAATTGACAAATTAGCCTGTATTTTGCAATTGCCTCCAAATAATGTGGTTTCAATGAACTTTTAGAGTTCAGAAGTGTGCACTGAATCGGCCCAGGGTCTGAACTCAAGTCAGAAGGTCTCATTTGGCAGGAGGAGACTGTATACAGAGCCAAGACGTTTTGCTTTTTGCTAATGTATTTTAATTTAGCACTCATGGACCTGACAATTTGCCCAAGAGTGACCAAGTCAGAAAGCAGATCCATTTCTTAATTTTTATTGATAGGTTTTCTCACTTGGCCATGACACAATCGACACACACACAAAAAAAAAACACATTTCTGCTCTAACTCAGCCAGTTAGCCTGAGAGCCACATGGCTGTCAGCATGCTTGTGTGTGTATATTGGATCAAAGCCTGGAATCCCCAACATTATTCCCTCACCGGAGGCGGGGACTGGCAGGAGTATTTCCAGTCATTTCGGCATTCTCATCTGGGTTCCCTGTGCTGCACTGGAACTCCAGGAGAAAGGGCAGGGGAACAGAGGCGGACGGAGAACTCTAGTGTCTTGGTGGTTTTGCCGGCTGCTCAGCAGGGACACATTCCCCATTAAAACAAACAGAAAAAAGCTGACAGAGAGCCGAGTGGCCAGCAGCGACAAGTTAGAAGGGACTATGTCCCGTTTTAAGGATGCCGTTTGTTTTCTTTGCACACAACGTCTAGCGCGCATTTAGAATTATTAGGCACAGTACAATTCTAGTTCATTTTCAGAATGGCGCTGGCATACCCCGTGATAAAAAAAGAACCTGTATTCAGTCTGCCACTCCAATTCAATCCAAAATCACGTTTTCTTTTTCTGTGCATTGCAGATCGGGCCTTTCTAGATTATTTAGTATATATAAACCAGGTTTTCAACAGCTTCCTGCTGTCAGAAGGAAACCAGCAAGCATGCACACAAGCAAAAGCCGAATTGATTGAAGGGAAAGAGAACTTAGACAGAAGAAACAAAAGGAGAACCCAGAGTTTTCTATCGATGATCTGACCTTTTCCCCCCTCGTCCATCTTGATGGGGAGAGAGGGGCTCTGTGGCGCAGAGTCCCCGCTCAGCGAGTAGCTGTGCTCAGCCTGGATGTCAGGTGTGGGGGGGTCCATCTCCATATCCAGCAGGGGGTTTTTCTCCGCAAGCAGGTGATCGTCGAAAAAGCTGCTGAAGAGCTCGTTGGAGAAGTCCTCCATGTTCTCGTTGAAGTGCTGGAAGACAGGTAACGGGCACGTCAGAGCAGAAGGAGAGAGGAAGACGAGCGAGAGAGGAGACCACTGGGCCTATCAAGCCTGTTTGGTTGTCAGGGAATCTTCTCCCAACACCTGTTGAGAGAAGCCTACATCATCAATATACCTGAATAGCTCATTGCAGAGACCCCTATGACCCAGTGTGAGACAAAAAGACTCCTCCTCCTTCCTAAGTGCTCTATCAACTATTCACCCATATGTTATGAGAAAGCTGCCTAGTGCCCATTCCTGAAGCCTAAGGCACATGCCAGGACTATATCCTGGCCAGGACACCTGCAGAACGTAGACTGTGCCACCCTGCCTGAAACAATCTGCAACAGTCTGCACACGAGAGGAGGCCTTCCGATGATGGCCACTGCCTTCAGTTTCTTTACAGGATCTTGAGGGGTCAGATTTGACAGCGTGACTGGGTATCTTATTCCAAAGTCTCTTACATACAGTACATCCCTGTGTAAAGAAAAGCTTTCTACACACATACACAGTACATATAAACAATACATTTATATTCTTAATGGCAGCCTAGGATTGTGGGAAAGGGTAGGGCCCTCATTAGCCACCTTCAATATTAAAAATATTAAATATTAAATATTAAAATTGGATTTCTCAGTGACCTAAAAAAAAGTTCCAGTTCCACTTTTTTATATTCGGCAGGTACACTGTTACTTAAAGTTGCTTCCAAATAAGCAATAGACACAAACTGAACTACTCTGCTCTAGTGCTTTTTAGAAACTGTGACCTACGGAGTGTGGACAGGGAAGTGTCTTTTATAACAACAGAATCAATTACGTTGTTAAAGGAGGTGGAGGGGAATTCTACCGTGAAAAGTAATAAGAAAAAAGACAGGGCTTGAGCTCCACAGCTACATGAATTCCACACACTCAGGAAGGAGCTTAATTTCTGAATTTTATCACTTCTGACATCCTTTGGGAGCAAGTGTTACCGGTGTTCCAACGGTGGAAATTATGAACGTGCAGCCTTTCTGTGATCACATGTGTAGTAAAGGGGAACCAGATTTGTGTGACAATTAAAACCCTTGTTAGCTTGCACTGCCTGACTGGCCTCACGACAGGACCACGAAAAAAGAACCCCGTGGTGCTTTACAAATTGCAAAATAATCATATGAATTAGGGTGATTTTGTCGGACCTTCTCTATCACAGATGCAGTTTACTTCATTTCCCTGCATGAATATGATAATTGAAAGTAATTACAGTACTGACGTCAAGAAACTGGCTATCCTGTTTTGCGTCTCAGATCCTTATTCCCCACGTCAGAGTGCTGTGTAATTACCAGAATACTGATTCAATAGAGCTGTTTGCTTTGCATGAGAAAGTCTCAAATGTCACAGTGGTTAAAGAAATACAAAACCTGTACCTTTGACTGAGTCATGACGTACGATAATTCTTTTAAGCCAGCAGTCTTCTTTGACCATCCACAAAGCACATTTTTTTTAGATCTACAGCTCATTTTTTCATTTAAGACTTTGTTCTTCCCCTTAGTCCCAAATTAAAGTCTGTTTGCTGGGCCAGAGGTGCCCTCATTAATTGCTGAAGGATGGGGGCTGTGAAGTATGCAGGACCCTGCATTACTTTATACCCTCTTGTTGGAAGAGGAGGTGCCTTCAGCCCTACAGAAGCAGCTGGTTGATTTGTGCAAGATAAGGGCATCATTTTCCAGTTCTGGGGATCTTCCTGTACTCATGTGCTCGGACTGCACATGGCACAGTTTGCCGGCTTTTACCCCTTTCCATGACTCTGTTGTCGGAAACAACAATTAGATTGGATGACTGTTACAAGAAATCAGCAAATCCACCAGGGCACAGAATGAAAATTAGGCAGCAGTCTGCTACACATTCTTGTTGGCGTATCCAATTACATAACACTACTTCCCTCGTGGTCACACTCTTCTGGGTCTTTAAGTCCCTTTGCATCTCTTCCATTTTACAGGTCAAAGATCGAGCAAATCCCAAACAGCATGGGGAAAAATACAAGGAAATCCGAGAAGCAAGAAAAGGTGAAAGGAAGAGCAATAGAAAACGCTCAGCGGAAAAGGTAGCACTACAGACTGGCACTTTGGATCATCCCTGCTGATTTACATTCGACGAGACTCTCAGTGTCCATGAACGTTAAAAGCCACACGGGCAACTGAACAATAACGCACCGCCTTCAAGAAAAAACAAATCCGACCCTTTCTGGAATATCGGAGTGGCAAAATAGTTGTTAAGTGGGAGTTTCCCTGACAGTTATGATAATGGACACTTGTATTTCTGTCACTGACGCACAACCGCTGATATTGGCACGTTAATCATTGTGGCTGAGTGTACAGCACAGCTCCAGCAATATAACAAACAGACCCACCCAGGCCCTTTAAGTGCACTAAAAGGCTCCTGTTTCACTTTGCATAGCGGATGCGATTTCTTGTCTAAATAATCCTAAATGAGCCACCAGCCTGCGCTCTGCCATAATACAACGTTACTATGAAATTTGCGCACTATTTTTGCTCGATGGTTTGCATTGACTTTGCTTTGTCACTGTATCCCACTGTGGTACCTTACTTTATATCTCATGACCATGTCTACAGTTGGCTATGCTTCACATGACCCTGGTTTTACCTCCGTACAGCATGGTATGGTTTTATAGAACTTAACCTACTCAAGAACAAGATGAAATCAAATTTTACTGACCCATTATGGAGAAAACATCATCACTTGAAAATATCATCATATATAAAATAGATTTCTGAAATTCTATTTGAGCTCAGGAAAACCCCGAAAGCCTTCTCCCATATATACTGTATATGATTTACTGATGGGGGAGACCTGGTAAATTCCCTAGGATGTTTGCTGGTTAAACACAAGCCAGGATAATAGACTGGAACCTAATGCCTGCTCTCCTTTCATCCCATTGGGTCCCAAAACACTTCACACACAGGAGGGTACCTGCATCAGTAAGAGGGACCTATTTCACCCACTGCTGGAGTGCAGCCCCATTACACAGTACATTAGGTGAAAAGGCAAGACATTTCATCACCAGTGGAATGAAGAAGAAACTTTAATGAGAGCACATTGCCCAGGCCAGTGCTTATGTGAGCCAGAAAACCATTACCCCTGCTCCTATCTCTTATGAACAGTGTCCCAGGATCTTTAATGCCCTTGGTTTAACATCTCGACTGCTGAAAAGCACCTCCTACAGTACAGTGCACCATACTGGGGCATTGGAGGGAAAACTGTGATCCAGCTGGAGGAGTGCCACCCCAATCTGTCAGTTTTACATTACCGACCCATTTCAGAATGTTCTTTTTCACCCACTTTTTATTTCTAAAAGGAAAGGAAAGGACTCTCCATTGTTCTGGTTTCCCATTTCAAAATCTTTACCCATGGGACTTGGGAGAACTGAGTGTCTTACTGGAAGACGTCTTAACCTGCTGCTTCCTCTCTGCTTCAAAATGATGGATTCTTTTTGCATCCAACACACTGAGGCTTTGTTCCTCTCCTTCGTTCAGCAGCTAGACAGCCTTTGAGGAAAGTAGCTTGACATAACCTCAGTTACACTGCTGCGATGATGCAAGACCACACAAATGACGCAACCTTTCTGGACTTTCACATATGGTCTTGCATTCAGTAGTCATGAGTTATTCTCAGATTACAGATTAGAGATGCAGAGCATTTCTGCTTTAACAGAAGAGCGGAATATTAATTGCTTTAAAGTGACTTTTCTGTGAAATTAATCACATGACTTAAAGATCATGGCATTAACCAGAACATTAAAATCTAAGCTGACATTCAGAGGCCTTCTTTAGAAAGCTCCTTCTTTTTAAATTTATTAGAAAGGTAAACAGGAAAACAAGCAAAATTATTTTTGGGTTGTTTCCTAATAAACACCCTCTCTAAAAAGTAGTTTACATTTAATTTCATGGAACCTGGCCCAGATATACAGTATGGGACTTTTAAAATCTGTTTTTAAAGTACTTTATCTCTGGACTTCATCCCAGTTGCCTGTGCAGAGGCACACAATAAGCACATAATGAATGTGACAGCACAAAAGAAAATATCAAATTATTCGAAATATGGGTTTACACAGAAAAAAAGATCACAGCTGTGAGCTGGTTGAGAGCAGCCTGCGCAAGATTAAAAAGAAGCTTTCCTAAGTACCACCATAAATGTGCACTGCACAATGTACTCCAGGAGATTAATTAGCACACCATGTTTCTTTGAGGTTTGGGTCTTTGTACTAAAATGTGCAGATGGAGCCTCTCTCTTTTTTAGCTGCGCATTATGCAAACACCATCTTCTGAGACTCCTCCCTTCAAACAGGAACTTGCTTATCTGCAACTTGCCTTTTGACTCTGTATCCTATTCACCAGGAACACTAACAGCTCACATTAGGGAGAAAGCTACCCAAAGGTGTTTCAGTCAGGAAGGCTTAATAACACATAATGGACACAAAGGCGTTACTGGGGAAATTTTGAAAGACGATTCGAGACGCAATAATTATAACCAAAGTGGAACCTGTGTATTTTGTGCTTTATCTGTATAATTAAAAGATCCTTCAAACCTTCATTTCCATGCATTCCAATCTGTCTGCAGGCACAATTCTGTACTCAACAGGTAGGGAAATTGTAAGGCACTGCTATACGGCAGCTTCAACGTTTGATATGTGGAAAATGAGACCATTTCCTCTATATACTGTCACAGCTGTTATTAACATAGCTAAGGCAATCCACACAGGCCTCACAGACAGCACAGGTCTCTGCCTTCTGTTTCCGAGGAAGGGAAGTGTGTATTTCATATTTAAAGAGGAGAAACTGCTGGTGCCAAAGTGACTATATTATTTTCTGGCAGCCTGTCATTAAAATATTACCGGCTATAAACAACCATTATTGTAATGGCAGCTTACTGGAACGTTACTGGATAGATTTTGGTTGATGCAGGCATTATAGGTCTACTGCTTGTCTTCTTTCAATA